CATTTGTCCTTTGTCTTGACTCTCACTTGCAGCCTTCTTGCTGGAAAAACAGAGGCACAGCACGTAGTCCTATTAGCCACAATTGCACAATTAGCCACAGTCTTTGGTTAATATTGGGAGTTAGCTCTACAACTTGAGCAGCTCCGCATTCTGGTGATGGGGGGGATTTCTCTGGCGGGCCACAAATCTATTTTGACTGGGTGCTGCAAGAAGAATTGGCCCCTCCATATAAATGTGCACCTCAGTGTGCAATAGGCAAGGCCCCTTGTCCTATATGACACATTTAGATCTCAATAAGGCAGCAGGGACACTGCACTTCAAGCTTGCTGTCCAAGCCTCAGGCTCCCCCCAAATCCTAGTCTCTCCCCCTCTCCATACTCCGTCTCCTTGCCCAGCCAGTTTGCATCCCCCCATTATTGCCCCTAATCCTTGTCCCCAATCTCCTTGCCCAGCCAGTCCCAGTTTCCCCTCCCAGCTATTCATCCAGTCTGGCTCTTCCCTCACCATACCACTGGCTCTCAGTCCTCTCTCCCTTCCCGGGTGCCTCATCCAATCTCAGTCTCTCCCCTCGCCTTCTCCCCAGCTCTTGTCCCAATCTCTCCAAATTCTCCTTCCCTCCTAGTCTCTTTAGCCAACCAGTCCCAGTCTACGCTCCCCCTGTGGCTCCCAGTCACAATTTCTTCCCCTCCGCACCCCAGTCCCAGCCTGCCCTCCCCTGACTCCTTGTCCCAGTCTACTTCTTTCCCTTCCACCCAGTCCAGCTTTGGTACCCACTGCATTGTAAACACATAATCCCTCCCCTACATTGCCAATGCCCCAGCTGGGGGTTGCTGATAGCCCAGGAGAGACAGGCTTCCTGTTCAGTGCCCGTATCTCCTTCCTATAACCTGGCCCAAAGCAGAAATTACAGGGAAAGTCCCTCTGAGTCCCCATAGCCCTGGGTTGGAGGAAGCACTCACAGTTGGTCTGCGGGGTTGGTGCATACACAATCTGGTCAGCTCTAGAAGCTGTAAGAGGCTCACTCAGGTTCAATGTGAACAGAATCTTCTGAAATTTAGCTGTTAAATTCTAGTAATTCTCTACGGAGAAATGTGCAAACTGATTTTTCAGAGGCTTATAACTTGGGCGGATTTTTCCAGCGATAGCAAAAGGCACATCCTTAGCACACAGGCTATCTCACTGCTAAATGTCACGTATCTGCTTCAAAGCAGGGGGACACTAGACATTTCAAAGAAATGATTGACAGAATTTTTTAACATGGGAAAAACAATATAATTTCCCCTAGTCTTGTTCTTGGACT